GATTACCCATGTCTGACGTATGCATGCACTGTAAGTGTAGAGATTCATACCTGATGTAGTTCTCCAGCAATTACTAGATGTGTGTCCTTATTTGCTAAAAGAAGAGGAGCAAGCGTATCTATTTCTCTTGCCTGGCCTCCCTCATCAATGAAGATATGAGTAAAGAAACCTTTAGGAGCTACATTCGATATTTTGAGAGCAGTGTCATATGCAGTGACTACTATTAACTTTGTCTCTTTGGAAAAATGATTAATAAATGAGGTTTTGCTACAGTCTGATATATTAAACTGAAACTCATTTGGGGTCGAGGAGCAACACTTCTCTTGGATAATTCTAACAACTGTTGCATCATTTGGCATATCTAAAAAATATTCTTTAAAAATTCTATCGGCAGAGCAATGATGATGACAAGATAGTAAAATACGCGTGATCGACTCATCTTTAATAATGAACTTTGCTGCAACACAAAGCAGATGCGTCTTTCCACAGCCAGAAGGACCATGTATCAGAATTGGAGCTTGTGATTTGGTGTGCAGTATCAATTTTAGGCCATATATTTGATCTTTGTTTAAATTAGCATCAATTTCTAAATGTTCGAGGCTAAAAGGTTTAAAATCATCAGGTGAAGGGATTATTCTTTTTAGTGCATCATCAGTTATACATGTCAAAACATTGTGAAGACTTTCAAATAAACAACGATTGACTTCAAACTTGATTTTAAATTGAGTCTTTGGATAAAATCTCATAAATTTAGCTGCATTCTCTGAATCAAAGGAAATAGAAAGTACATCTTGAGAAATTTTGTAGCCATAAACTGCTTCACAAATGATACAAGAATTCGTACTCATAATAGTTAGCCGATTTCTCATTTGAGCGGCATAAGTCATTTGACTAATATCAAGGCCTTCAACAAAAGCAGATAGAGCAAAATTATCTTGAGCTAATTGACGTGGCCTATATGTGACAATGATGTATGTTTTTTCCATTCTGTTTAATCTATAGTGACATAGGAATGAAAACATAAAAGAAAGACAAGAAAACAAACTAAAAGCTTACAATTACAAAATAGTGTTTGAATTAGACACATACATATGTAATTATGTAAAATTGATCATAATTTAGTTAATCAGAATCACTGAATCAGCTCAAATTCTTTGCATGCATAAGTTAGAGGATGTAACCAATCATTTGAAAAACTCTACTTACATTTCATCAATGATATTCTTATGCTCTTCTTCCTCATGAAAGAGCAAGGATTTATATTTTGTCTTGTAGTTTTCTAGTTTAATAGGTAAGGTCATGTCACTAGACAAATCAGGGGAGTTGGGTATGTCTTTTAGAGAACTATTCTGAAAATGAAAATAAAAATTAATGATAGAGTTGCCGTGCATGCAGATCTTATAAATATGAGCCAGCATGCATTGTCTTGAAATAATAACAGTTATAGGCAGCATAGGCAGTTAAAGGAAAATGTTATGTAAATAACAGGTGCATATGCAAAGGAAATGTTTGCACATTGCGGTATAGTAGTTTCTGTGTAAAATGTGGCCTATTATTCATTTACCTTTTCACTGTGTAAGCCTTTACTACAATCGAGTGACAAATTTTTCCATACTCTTTTCTCTGCTTTGCTATGAGGCCAATGACAATCCTCTACACCAGGACAACCCAATCCAGCCATGTAGCACGTTCTAAAATAGCGTGGAGACGGCCTCAACCGGAGTGGTAGTTTTAAATGAGTATGGTAGACCAGCGGTAGTTGCCTTATTCTTACCAGTACGCCTTTATGCTCTGTTACTAGCACATGTCGCGGACGATTATGTTCAGCAGCAGAGCGACACTTAAGACTCTCCGTCAATAACAATAGATCCCAAGGTGCTCGTCTATAACATAGTTCACATACTCTGCCAAAACTTGCCCTGGTACTACTACTACTACTACTTGAGCTAAGAGAAGGAATCATAGGAATGTTGCTCATCACAAAGTCACAGGTACTGGTCAGGCACACTGGCACAGGCAGCATAAAATTAATTAGAGCTCCACCCACGTCTTATTAGAACCACACCTTTTCACAAGGGCGGGGCTAAAGTAATAACCACACCTACAACAAGATGTCTCTCGATTCTGTCCCTAAAGATCTTCGTGGCTTAAGAGCTTGCAAGCTGTGCTCTATGGTTAAGGTAGTCAAGAAAATTTTTAAGTAGTTATTATAAATTTTTACTTTAGTCGTTTGATCAGTTTCTTTACAATGGTTGTGACAATTGCGAGAGATACATTCACTTGAAAGGGAACAGGGGTCGAGTTAATGACTGTACAAGTCCTAACTTTGATGGGTGAGTCATGATACTCTACATATGTTTTAAAAGGGACGATTTTATAAACCACTAATTGACTGCTCTTGCTTTAGGCTAATATCAATGATGAGTAACGAAGACAGTTGGGTAGCAAAATGGCAGAGAATAAGTAAGTGTACATTAATCAAATGTCTCTATGAGTGTGAGAGGATTATTTGCTTTTATTTCTTCCTAGATAAGTTCACTAAAGGATGCTATGCAGTATCAGTGTCAGGAGAACTGCCTGAAGATATACTGGACGAGTTGAGAGAGAGAGGTGTGGTGTATCAATCACGTGACACCTCCGATGCCAGCTAACGGATCGGAACAGAACCACACTTGATAAAACATTTGCATGTACATGTATTCATTGATTTTGTCTCATCAATTAAATAATTATTGCAGTATTAAAAGAGGTGTGGCTGGGGTGCAAATATGGCTGTTCTCATAAAGAATGGTTTTGTTATTGATCCAGCTAATGATATGCAAATGCAATTAGATGTTCTCTTGGAAAATGGATTAGTAACAACTGTACAATCTAGTATTGAGCCTCCCTTGGAGTGCAGTGTTTTTGATGCCTCAGGCTGTATTGTCTGTCCAGGCCTGATTGATATGCATGTTCATTGTTTCCCTGGTGGGTCTTCTCTTGGGATAGATCCTGACAAGTATTGCCTTCCTAGAGGAGTCACTACCGTAGTCGATGCTGGGAGTGCAGGTATAAAGTATGGGCAGTCATGAGTTGTGCAAACTGTATTAAATTGCCATATTGGCAGTGCCTTAAGGGCAAACCTTGCTGTAGTGTTATCTGTCATGTTTCTGCAGGTGCAAAGAGCTTTTCTAAGTTTCTCGCTTATTGCAAGACAAGGAAAACTCGTATCTTTAGTTTACTTCATGTCTCAAGGGTTGGGCTAGAAACGGCAGGCTGTGCTACAGGTTAGATTATAAATTTCTCCATCTCATAGTTAAAACAATTATTATTTTGTTAAATAGCAGATTTACCTGGTGAGCTGGAGTCAATAGATGACGTGAATGAAGACGAATGTTTGGAATGTGCGAAAGCAAACCCTGATACCATAGTTGGTATGAAGATTCGTCTCTCTGAGAATATTGCTAAGCAAGGACATAATGAAGCTGAGGCACTAAGGTACTTTAAGACAAATCTAGACTAGACAAATCACGCTATTTTTAAATTATTTTACTATAGACGAGCTCTCTTGATTACTGAAAAAATTAAACTTCCTCTTATGGTTCATTATTCGTTCTCAACCTTACCTCATAAAGGTGTAGGAGAGGGTAAGTATTAAAGACAATGTGTACAGTTATGTATGCACTTCCATGTAGAATTGGGTGTCCCTGGAAGTTTGAGGAATGGCGATATCCTAACACACATGTATCATGGTTTTCAGTCAACTATCATCGATCCATCGACCAAATCTATTGATCCTGTTGTCCTTGAATCAAAAGAAAATGGTGTCAAGTTTGATATAGGCCATGGAATGGGTTCATTCAGTTGGACAGTAGCTGAGCTAGCCATCAAGACAGGGAATCTATGGCCTGACACAATCAGTACTGACCTCCATACTGAGTCAATGGATGGTCCTGCATATGACCTTACAACTGTAATGACAAAACTGCTACATTTAGGCATGCCACTTTTTGATGTCATTAAAGCTGTTACATTCACCCCAGCTAAATTGATCAACAGAGAGAAGATGATTGGTTCACTTACGCCAGGAGCTATTGCTGATGTTACAGTTATGAAGCTTGTTGACTGTGATCTAATGCTTGAAGATTGTCAGATGCACATGCGTAATATTAAGCAGCGTCTGATTCCAGTGGCTGCTTGGAGAGCTGGAGAAAGAGTAAAGATTTTTGAGCCTTGGGGAACGTGGCCAAATGTTAGTGAGAGCTATCAATGCCATCAAAGCAGAGAAAGAACTCTTCTTCACATTAGACCCGATTAATAGTAAAATGCTGTGATTATTAAAAATAATTTTTTAAAAGGTTTCTATTAAAATAACTTGTAGTATGATGATAACTGAATGATAACAGAACCACCCTTTCACATCATCACATGATATTTGATATCTGGGCATCATAAGAAAATGGCTCATAAGGACGTGGTAACAATTCCAGCATATGTAATCCAACCAGCAACTAGACCTCACATTGTGTGGATAGAAATAAAAGATGGTACATCAGAGACAAGACGAGAAGACATATACTGGAAGGGTGTACTCGATAGCATAAGTGGTGACGTAGCTAATGAGGTGGTAAGTGTTCAAATTAAATCTAACTGAAATTGCATATATACGTTAGACTAGAGAGGGACACCGTATTCAGACTTGAAAATTGTACTCTCTGGATCATCAATGGTAGAAAGTTTAGGATCACACGTACGTACCCCAAACCAAGATCTTAAATGCACCAATGCCAATACTCTCTCTATTTATACAACATTGTCAGCAGAACCAGGAGAGGGAGAAATATGTAATTATGGAGAATATCAATCACTTGCTGAAAAGATAATACATCAAGTAATAGAAAGTACCTATAAACATTTGAGTGGAGAGTAAGTTATTATGTTAAAGTTAATTTTTTAGTATTGGATTAATTTTGTAGGACCTATGTTAAAATTAAATATGACGCTATAATACTAAAAAAGGCAAACAATCAAAAGAAATCTGCACCTGAAGGAGTAATTGTAGTTACTTAAACTGTAGTGGATTCTTCATTTTTTTCTATGTAGCTATTGTTACATCTACTTACATTTTATTCTTCTATTCATTAATTTTTGCCCTTCAGCATATTTCAAAAATCATATCTTTATAGTCACTAAGTGTGCGTTACAGTCATGAAGCTTGTTGACTGTGATCTAATGCTTGAAGATTGTCAGATGCACATGCGTAATATTAAGCAGCATCTGATTCCAGTGGCTGCTTGGAGAGCTGGAGAAAGAGTAAAGATTTTTGAGCCTTGGGGAATGTGGCCAAATGTTAGGGAGAGCTATCAATGCCATATTACCATAAAACTGAGCAAAGAGAGAAATCTTTATCATGTTACATGGTCCTGATTAATATTACTTGTTATGACATTTAGTTGGTAATTGATTTTTTTGGAAGAATAAATAGCTGATGCTAATTGAAAAAAGAATAAATATGTATACATGATGAGGTGATAACATAAAAATCAATAGCTAAATCAAAATTTACAATCCAGATAGAATTTAAGATAAGAGATATATAGAGGTTGATTTTTTGATGTTACTTGGGAGAGAGCTCCAGAGTCTAATGGTAGATGGAAGGAAGGAGAGGCGATAGGAGGAGGTACGACAGAATGGGGCAATATAGCTATAGGGACAATAGGGACGGAGCAACATTGGGGGAGATCGAGAGGGAGGGTGTGGAGTAATGGTGATAATAACAGCTGCACAGCCTCCACCCCCTTTTACTATTGTAATACAATTTTACATTATTTCTTGTCAACAAGGGGATCATACAGGAGAAATGGCTCAATTTATGCTCTTTTCAAGGTTGAAGCCTTCTATGTTTTCAAGGGCTTATGCAAAGGGCAATGCATCCCTAAGCCTCCTGCAACTTTTTAGAGCTAGATCTACTCACAACATATCAATTCCAGCATATCTAATCCAATCAGCAACTAGACCTGACATTGTGTGGATAGAAATAAAAGATGGTACATCAGAGACAAGACGAGAAGACACATACTGGAAGGGTATACTCGATAGCATAGGTAATGAAGTAGCTAATGAGGTGGTAAGTGTTCAAATTAAATCTAACTGAAATTGTATGTATAATAGAGGGGGACTCCGTATTCAGACTTGAAAATTGTGCTCTCTGGATCATCAATGGTAGAAAGTTTAGGATCACACGTATGTGCATATCAAGATCTTGAATGCACCAATGCCAATACTCTCTCTATTTACACAACAATGGAACTAGGAGAGGGAGAATTGTGTACTGGTAATAATGGATATAATAAACCATTTGCTGAAAAGATAGTTGATATAGTACAGGAAATTACTAGTAATCATTTGGTGGGAGAGTAAGTTTTGTATCAAAGTTATTTTTAAGTATTCCGATTAATTCTATAGGACCTATGTTAAAATCAAATATGAAGCAATAATTGAAAAATTAAAAAAATATAAGAAATCTGCACCTGAATTAGTCTCGCCCCGCCCGGCGAGACTACACCTGAATGAGTTACATAAACCATGAGAACAATAGAATAGTAAATTAGCATTAGATTCTTCTATTTTTGCCATTAATTTAGTTTTTTTTAAATTTGTAAGCTGCTAATGTAAAGGTTGGGGAACTGCTGATCTTGATGGCTGATGTCAATGAATTATGGTGAAGCATGCAGCCATTATGAATGAGGTTAAGGGCGGGGCTGAAGATGCACAGCAGGCTAAGGGCGGGGCTGGTGTCAACATGGCACAAATTGCTTTTCTGTTATTTCTTGTTTTTGCCACAACAGTGTAAGTCAGTCGGACCAGATAAAGCTACAGTACTTATATTCTATATTACAGACCAGAATCATGTTCAGCATGCTTGCAAACCACAACCTCTGTCGCTAATGTTAGCATGGTGTCATTTTACACCAACACAACTTGCTGTGGATTTTTGTGCTGGTTTACATGCGATGCGTAAGTCCTTTACTTATAAACCACACATGCACCTTGTGAATTTAACTGCAGAGGAGAAAGTCACATAATATACGTGTCCCAGTACATAATGTCATACAAGTGCTGCCCTGGGTATGGACCTGGATATCCTACCTGTAACCGTAAGCTATTAAATTCATTTAACTGACTTAATATAATACCTTACAGCAATATGCAATGATACATGTGATGAGAATATGGTCTGCTCAGCTCCTGACACCTGCACATGTGGACCAGGATGGACTGGGGAAGACTGTGATATTGGTATTGGATGTGCTGGCTTGTTCTCAATAAAATAATGCATGTTTAATTGTTTTTGTGTAGATATCAATGAATGTGAGGAACAACAAGACAATTGTGAAGACAGGTGCATCAACATTGATGGATTATTTCTTTGCTCTTGTTTTGATAAAAATGATATAATATCTCGTGATGGACTCCGTTGCTTGAGTAAGGAGACCTAATTGCAATGTATTATTATAAATGACATTACCATTACAGGTTCTGTTACAAATATTACTGTAATTCCTGGCAGTAGATCACTTACATTGTCATGGATACTACCATTTGATTATGAAGATGATGGTAATTTCACTGGACTCTCAATCATATGCAACAAAAAGGAGGAACAGTACTCTATTGAGTCTGCTATTATTGGTCCTAAAACTAATGGCACAGTGCATTCCTTCACTCCATTCACTAATTATACTTGCTGTATCACTCCAGAATGGGGCTTGGACATTGGTCCTACAAACTGTACTGATTCAATGACAATGCAAGATGGTAAGCCAACCATGTAGTATGAAGTGATTCATGCACAAAATAAAATATTTTTTAATAATTTTCTTTATTATAGCACCAGATGATTCTCCACACAATGTCAGTCTAATATCACTCAGCTCCAGTGAAATGTTATTGCAATGGACGCCCCCACTGATTAAAAATGGGATCATTGATTACTACACTCTTCATATTGACTATACTAATGGGAGTGAAGTTTCAGCTACAACTATTAACAGTCATTATAATCAGTATATACTCCAATGGTTGTCACCTTACCAGTCAGTGGGAGTAAGTCTTTCAGCTACAACTAGAGGTGGAGAAGGACCTTACTCAAGCTATATTTATAATAGGACAAATGAAGGAGGTACAATCAATGCAATATCAACTCTATTATTTTTCATTTGAATCATTTTAGTGCCTGGTCCTGTTCAAAACATTAATGTCCAAGTCCTGCTAAATACAACAGTTAAAATAACATGGAATGAGCCATTACTCCCTAATGGTATCATAACTGACTATGATTTGCAAGTCAGTAGTCTAACAAGTGACAGCAGGTTTGCAACAAATAAGAGAATACTCCTTGGAGATCCTTTATTAGCTTATATAACAGACCTTGGTTAGTGGATTGCATTATAGTTAGTATTTTTGATACTTATCACTCACTACAGAACCATATGTGCCCTATTCAGTCAATATCACTGCTAAGACTAGTGTTGGTAAAGGTGCTACAGCTACTAAGATATTCTATACAGAAGAAACAAGTATAAATTACATTGTATTACATGTATATTTAATATAATGTAACTTAGCTCCTAGTGTTAGTCCTCAAATAGTCTCTGCATACAAGGATACTCCTGTATCTATACATATTAGCTGGTTAGAACTAAGCTTGAAAGAAAGCCGGGGCTTTGTAACAAACTATACAATAATGATCTCAATCTCCATCGATTATTGTAATATTACTGTATCAGAGCAGAAAGCAATGGTAGCCAAAGAGAGGATTTCATACACATTCTCACAGTTAGAGCCATCAAAAAATTATTGTATCTCAATTTCTGCTTCTACTGTTGCTGGTGAAGGAAAAGTATCACCACTCTTACTTGTTAACGGTAAAGATATTACTATAGAAATATTAATTTTATGTTGTACTACAGTGTATGAGCACAGTAAAGTAGTACTTTACTTGAAAGGAGTAGCAAACTGTTCAGAATGGACTGTAAGTGCACACATGCATAATACTGCCAGTCACTGCAAAAATACAGCTCCATTTATACAATTTTTATGATGCATATACATGTTCTTATGAAGTTTGAGCTAAGTGATTTCAATCAAAAGTTAGATTTGTTACAAATTTTTAAGTTGCTCAAAAATCAGGTGGCAAAGTATCTGTACTATAGTACAGCGACTTCAACCAAATTTCACCAAAATTGAAAAGAAAAGAATTCTTTATTTTTATAGCTTTTTCTGATGCATATACATGTACTTATGTTGCGTAGAAAGTTTGAACTGATTCCAATCACATTTGGATTTTTTTTGCAAATTTTTAAAGTTACTCCAGAATTGGACAAAATTCCCTGTACTATAGTACAGGGTCTCAAGCCAAATTTTACCAAAATTGAAAAGGAAAGAATTCTTCATTTTTATAACTTTTTTTGATGCATATACATGTACTTATGTTGCGTAGAAAGTTTGAGCCAATTCCAATCACAATTGGATTTTTTTACAAATTTTTAAAGTTACTCCAAAATCAGGCAAAAGTCCCTGTACTATAGTACAGGGCCTCAAGCCAAAATTTCATCAAAAATGACAAGGGAAAAATTCTCCATTTTAATAACCTTTTCTGATGCATATACATGTACTTATGTTGCGTAGAAAGTTTAAGCTGATTCCGATCACATTTGGATTTTTTCCAAATTTTTAAAGTTACTCCAAAATCAGACAAAATTCCCTGTACTATATAGTACAGAGTCTCAAGCCAAATTTCACCAAAATTGAAAAGGAGAGAATTCTTCATTTTTATAACTTTTTCTGATACATATACATGTACTTATGTTGCGTAGAAAGTTTGAACTGATTCATATCAAAATTTAATTTTTTACAAATTTTTAAGTTGCTCAAAAATGGATAGATTCTACATAATATTTGGTCAAATTTCAGTATGCAATAATTAACAGCATTTGATTAACTATGATTTCTCCTAAATTCTAGCAAAGTAATACTCAAACCAAATTATCCAAACTTGATGAAACGCTGCTTCACTACCTTCTGCTCCATTGCAATTGCCCTATTGATCAAAACTACATATTTGACAGTCACTTTGAGCTCTGCAGTAATGACAACAGCACACTCATTGGATACAGAACAGCTTTAATCGGCACTGTGTCAGTCAACAGCACTGAACTAGTTGAAACAGTCAAAAAATGGGTAGCCACCAATCCAAAAATTGTCGTTGATGGACTACAACTTGAAATATTGTCAGTGTGTAGGTTTTATACTGATGAGTCTCAATGCCAGCTTCACGAAACACCTACTGGTTATCCCACATTGCTTGGTGTAGACTCAAATACAAGTCAATACACAGCCATTGGAGTAACTGCAGGGCTTTTAGTACTTGGAATGCTGGTGTTCACTATAATTACTGTAACTTTAGTGTGCTTTTGGATGCGTAGAAAAACCAGGAGGTATGATAATGCTTTAAAGAGTGTAATTATTTTGTAATGCTATAGGTTGAAAAGAAAATATCATCATGTACGAGAAGGTAACGATGAAGAGAATGATGATCCAAATTATATAAAACTAAGACGTCCAAAGAAACATAGAAATCTAAATCTAACAAAAGAAACTGCAATATAATTCATTGCTACTATGTTCTTATTGCATTCCCTATTAATTTTGTTTAAAAATTTTGTGAGTTCACATGGGTTGATTTCATGGGCGTGCTCTTTTATGGGCGTGTCAGTGCATTAAAATGGCAGCCAAAGGCGATGGAGGAAACTCTCTCTTTCAACCTTTAAAAGAAGGTCTTTCGTTATCAAAACCTTCAAAGCCAAGTCTGAATCTTGAACACTTGTCAAATTTTCCTGTTACTTTGGCTAAAAGAAAGAGATCAAGAGACTCTACGGACGAATTGCCTGACTATATTGATGATGAATCGGAAGACGACAGTGTTTCTTTACCAATTACTAAAAGATCTCCAATGTCTAAGCAATCACCTTCTATTCCTAGCCGTTCTAATACTACCCCTACTGCTACAAATCCTAATATTAAACCAGGGACTATGCCTCACTCTACCAATAAATCTATGTCATGTCCTCTTCCAGGTTCTTCTCCTAAGCCAGCTGTTACAAGAGTTTCACCTGTTAAAGCTACACCACAGGTCAAGACAAGAGCTAACGACAATCCACCTGCTATCCAGTCAAAAAGAAAACCTATTTCTAAACCCACCAAAGAAAAGGAGGGCACCGTATGGTCCGAGCCTAACCTAGGAAATAAAATATCGGCATTACCCAATGAATCATTATTTGGTTCAGACAATCCTTTTAAGTCAATGGGAAAAATAACGAGATTTCCCAATACACCAGTAACAGAGTCAAGTGCAGCTTCAAGTTCAGTTCATTCATTCTCTTTTGCAGCAGCTGCAACTGCGTCCAAACAGGATTCAAAATCACTTCCAAAGAATACAAAAGGAGCGACTCTTCCAACTCCTATAAAGAGCCAGCAACTAACTGAAGGTATGTCTGTCAGTCCTTTGTTTGTAATGAAAGAGTCGAAAAACTTTAAAATAATTGGAAGCAATTGTATCAGTGTATCACCTGATAAGCAGAAAATTATAGTCACTGGTGAGAAGCATCAAGTTGAAGTGATCATTGACCGTCTTAAAGAAAAATTCCAAAGCTTTACATCTAAATTAAAATCAAAAACATTCCCGATGAAGGCCATCTTTGCTCCTTTACTTTTAGAGGAAAGTTTCACAAAGAAACTTGAAGATATCAGTCAAGAAAATTTAGTTGAGATTCGATTTGTTAAATTAGGGAGTAAAGAGCCATTAATGTGTGAGACAGTTGTTTCAGAACTTAAAACTGCCATAGGTGATAAGAATCTTACTTTATATCATCTGTACAAAGCAAATCTACTTCAACAAAGGGAATCTCTCAAACAAGAATGGTGTATTCAAAATTGCAATGGGATATGGTATAAAGTATCTGATGAGACAGATGACTTGTTTAATGAAAGCTCACAAACAACTCTTGAAGTACAAAATCATGGTCAGACTTTTAAAGTCAATCTTGAAACCAAGCAAGCCATCGGGCCCGATGGTTTTGTATATCCTATGAAATCTGAGGATATCAAACCGACATGGCTGTATCATCAAGATGATGATTTTGGATTTGTCTCGTATTCTGATGAAATATCTAGTTTGATAGAACACTGTTATAAAACACATAAATTTGAACCTGTTTCTGTTCTTGTTGATGGTGACGATTGCGAATGCTACTTCAATTTTCAGTCGAGATTGGAATGGAATCTAACAAAAAAGTCAAATCGTCCTATAAAACGTGATCCGCCAATAACGCCTCCTTTCTTGTCACCAGAAATCAATTTGATTATTACTGGGTATCAGTCTGACATTGATGCTGTAGAGAAATCACTTCATTCCTTTTTTCAGGAGAAACTAAAGTCATCTTCTTTACCTCCTAAAGTTAATCGACAGTTATTAGAGTATCGCCTAGCACAGTATTGTGTGGAAGTGGACTGTCACAGAGTTACTGGAGTGAACCAGTATGCAGACAAAGTATTGTTAGAAGAGGCAGTCAGCTTGATCAGTTTTATTAGCGAAGAGGAAGTTCCACCAGAATGGGCACCACAGGAAAATGATGTTGAAGTATTTCAAGTTCACAGAGGCACAGAGGAATGGAATTTTGTTCAAAGAAAGTGGAGCGAAACAATGTTAGTGTCATTGAAAAGGATTGAGCGTATTCAGAACAAGTGGCTTTGGAGGCACTACTGTCTCTGTAGGGAGAGGATAAAAAGCAAAAACAGAGGAATGGAAAACGAAAAGTGGCTTTTTCATGGAACTAGAGAAACAAGACCTCAAGAGGTTTATAATTCTGAGAAAGGATGTGACTTTCGTTTCTCTTCTTCTGGAATGTGGGGCAATGGTAGTTATTTTGCAGATAAAGCATCTTATTCAGATGATTACAAGTATCAATCATCATTGGGTAAGCAGATGTTCCTAGTCCGTGTTCTTACTGGAGATGCAATTGAGTTACAGCCACAGAAGCTTAAAATGCCTCCTCCAAAGAATCCTGCTGATAAAACAGTTCGTTATGATTCAGTGAAAGGTTTTACTAAAAAGACTAATATTTATATTGTTTATGAGCATGATAAATCATATCCAGCTTATCTCATTACATATTAAATATCCGACCATTATTAGTGTTATTTCTGTAGCTGTTGATTTTTAAATTATTTTATTCGGTATTAATAAACTAAAGCAACTACACACAATAATATCTAAACTGTAAAGAAGCAAAACAAATTTCAGCATATCACAAAACAAATAGTACTAGCTCTAGTATTTAAAAAAAGCGTCGAGGACAATCATAAGATATCAAATATGCAGGATAAGCTTTCAAGTTGTCATAAGTCATGAAAACATCAGATCCATGAGTATTTCCACTGACAGTATCATATCGTACTTGACCTAATTGGAAGTTATTAGATGCTGAGCCAGCTGGAACAAATGAAGGTTTTTCAGGAGGCATACGTAAGCTAGAATTAGAAGCACATTGATAAGTGACTCCAGTCAAAACTTTAGCTAAAAACATTTGCTTCACTTGTTTACCTCCTTTGGTACAAGGACCATGTGCATAAGAATCAGAATAGCTGGCATTAACAGCAAAATAATTAGCTTGTCCCCACATCCCACTAGCACTGAACCTCATATCAAAGCCTTCCTCTGAATCATATATTTGCTTTGGGTCATTGTTCCTTGTTCCATGAAACAGCTCTTTCTCATTAACTTGACCAGCATTCTTCTTCTGTAGTGCTGCCTTATGGTTTGAGTACTTTTCCCACAAGTACTGATTCTGAATGCGCTCAATGCAATGAACAGTTACACGAGGCATTGTTCTCTGGAACTGTGACACCACATGCTGGTACTCTCTAGTTCCTTCCTTTACCACAAATATTTCCAGTGTTTTTTGTTGAGGTTGCCATTCCTTAGGCTTCTGTACTGTCATTCCTTTATTAGCAGTTTCCATGTGAGTTAGCAAACATTTCTGCATTTCTGTCAGGGCTTCCTTAACAAGGTGTGTAACACCCACAAGCCTAGCTGACCTTGCACTTTCAGACGATGAAATTATATCAAGCTTAATGGTATGCCGAGTAGCTATGTTATGCAAATACCTCTCTAATTGCTTTGATGAGGACGGTATTTTAAGTGTATCATTAGAAAGGCATTTGTCCAGTTTACTCTGCAGAACCGATGCTGCTTTATCAATGTGCTCCCTTGGGCCACAGAGAGTCACTGGGACTTTGCTCACTGTTGCTTTACTAGCTGGAGCATCTGGTCCTTCTCGTTTGATACTACGAGTTGTATTGGTCCTTGTATTACACTGGGTCATATTCTCAAAATCAAACGAGTAAGTGAATTTTCTAATATTGAGTCTACCGCTTGTACCACTCTGATACCATTCCTCTAACTGTTGTGCATGCTCTTCACTATATTCCTGATATACTCCTTTATCATTATTGAAGGACCACTTGACAGCTCCTAAATCACCATCATCATCATCATCATCTGATGGACACAATCGTTTCATGGCTCGTACATTCCCAGTGCTAGCATTTTTCTGCTGCATATTTTCAAAATCGAATGTGTACGAGTGCCTACCAATGACCAGCTGGCCTGTAGGTGAGTTATTCTGATACCATGATTCCAACTGACTTGAGCTCTGATCATCATAGAGTGTCCATTGCTGCTGATCATTGAAATAATACCATTGAACAGTATCACCTGGTGATCCATCAGTCTCCTCAGTATCATCAACTACTTCCACTTCATCTCTTGATTGTGACAACTTAATTTTACGCGTGAAATTTGTTCTCGTATTCGTTTGCACCATGCTCTTAAAATCAATCTCGTATATTGTACCTTTGACCGTTATCTGGCAAGGAGCTAAAGGGTTTTGCTGATACCTTTGACTGAGGAGGCTATTAGTATATTGATCATAAGGTTTGAACAAGTTATCATCATCGCGCCAACTCCACATCAACTGCTGCCCTTGAGTTAATGGAGGAGACTGAATAGGAACAGCTTGTGGAAGAATTGGTTGAGGATTTTGTGCTTTCAAAGCCGCTTCAAAATTAGCCACTAGACTAGGCAATAAAACAAAACGAACAGAGAGAAGTGAGCTGGACCTGACAGTTTTACAAAACTTGATCAAGCCTGCAATAGAAGCTGATGCACAGACTGGTCCAGGCACTGAAAACACTCCAGTTCCTAATGCTGGAATGGATACACTTGTTAAACGATTATTATGAGCTTCTAAGCACACATTTAATACTGCCTGCTCTAAAAAACCCTGTTCATTTGAAAGGCCTCCAGTCCATCTTGGAGACACAGCATGAATGATATTTTTAAAAGGCAGCTTGCCAGGACCCAGACAAACTGCATTACCAGGTAGCAATGGGCCATTGAGAAATACATATTTATTACTCTCAGTCTGAATTGCATCACCACCTTTGTCTGATATTTTCTTTGCCAATCCACCAATGTGTTTTAAATCCCCATTAGCTGCGTTTACAATGGCATCGACATTTTCACTCAAGAGGTCACCAGATACGATTGACACTTGAAGGGAATGGGAAGAAGGGGCGGGCTTCAATTCCTTGCTAATAACAACTCTGTTGTTTGCGGTAATTATAATCGAGTACTGGACTTGTACTTGTTCAGAAAACTTTTCAAATTCTTGGGTTTTAAAATACGGAGCCTTATAATAATCCACATCAATTGTTTTCGTGGATTTACCTTCTGAAATAGCTTCAATGGCCTCTTCGACTAATTTCTTGATGATCTGAACACTTTCTGTTAGACCAGTAAACTTAAAAACAACGAAAGGCTTGTCACTAAAATTCAAAGAAATTCTAACTTTCTCTCTTTCAGCAGCCTTACTAGCTTCTTTAAGAACTATTTTAGCTTTACTTGTCATGACAGCAGAAATAAAGTCATCATTATACTGCAAAGTGACTGTCTCTTCAGACGAACCTTCCAAATGATTGGTTATCTTCTCAACAGTAGAATCAACCACTTCAGGAGCTGAGCAAAGACCAATCACCGTAAGACTCTTTCCTTGTACTTGTAGCCAGACACTACTAGCAATATCCAGTGAGTTTGCTAGCTCAACAATGCGAGTTGGTAGCCTATACTTATCCTTGATTTGGATCTGGCGCTTCACAGTCTCTCCATTTTCACGAGTCTTAATAATGCTACTAACCTTTTCAACAGACTCTTTACTTAAACCATAAACTGTAAAATTTACAGATATTTCTGTACTCGGGGCAGTAGACGGTCTTCTGGTGGCTTCATTAGGTCTGCCTGGTGCTTTTGGTTTTCCCCTTCCTCTTCCTCCTCTCCTTTCATCTCCTTCTCTCTCTTCATCCTTTTCATAAAATTCAAGCATAATCTCATGCTCTGATTCTAATTCCTTCTTCACTTGTACCCATCGTTTCTTCCACTGAGCAATGACATTCTGTGTAGTAGTCACAGCAAATTTATTGACTGTAAAGTCACAAAGAAACTCCTTCAATTCGTCACACACTCCATCAACGGCTGATGACTTACCCATCACACTAATAGTAAACTTCTTTGAGAACTGGTAAGCCTCCACTCTTGGCTGTGGTAATTGGATAGTACGACATTTCCCTTGTAATTTCTCTAGCTTATCATGACATTTCGTCTTCAGATAGACTACCTGATATCCAGTGACTTCAATAGTTTTAGTCACAAAAATTGAGTCTTCAATTTGTGCCTGGCATTCCAGGATATCACTGTCTCTTATGCCATGTACTAGTACTTTGGGTGATTGGGTTGAGGTTCCTTGCAGAAATATTCTGACTGAATGCGCTTTCTCAAACTCTTGCTTCCTTTTCATGATATAATCCGTTGATTTAGGAGATACAGAGATTGACTCGGTGTGAGGATTTAAAGTCTAAAAATATAAAAATTTATACCATAAAATACAGCACATGTAAATTAACCAAAGCTGCTACATGTACATGCACATTTAGAGGAGGGCCAAATTACAATATTCTTTTATCACTTTTATAGGCATAAAGTTACAATCCTATCCACAATACATATACATGTACATTGTATGCTAACTAACACACCTCCATTTCAGAGCAGACATGTTGAAAGTCCTCAATGCTAGTACTATAAATCGATATCGTAAATCCTTTTGAAGAACCTTCAGATGATGAGGAATGATGTCGACCCTGCCTTGAGGAGCGGCCAGACTGCTGGGTGGAGTCCTCCTTGTTGTGACGAGTGATGACGTGGGTAAAGGTTTTCTTTTGATGGAGTTGTCTAAGAACTTCAGACTCAATGTGCGAGATAAAACGACAATCAGCGGAAAAGGGAAATTCCTTAGATTCTAGTTCCGACGTGACAAAATACTCTAAAAGTTTCTTTTCAGTTTCACTGACGACGTCACAAGGTCCCTCAAAATAAACGACATCCTCTGAACTAGTGACTTTAGATGTTAAACCAGTCAATAGTTGCTTAGTACCTTCAGTTGGTTGCTTGAAAAGGCAATGATGAACATACAAAGCAATACCAGGAGGAGCCTCTAGTGGTCTACGTACGAATTCAGAGCTCTTCAATAAAGCCTGGATCCTTTCCTTGGCATCAGTGAGATCAGCAGTGACGTACCCATGAATTATTATACTGCTATTCTTTGTTTTTATTGAAATATCGACCAAGCAATCTTGCTCGATTCGCTGGATCACTGTTAAAAGCTTTGAACGTACTCTCTCCAGCGCTTCTGGTCCCAATAAAGTAATCTCTTTGTTTTTCTTTTTACGAATCAGCTTCATTATCTCTTGAAGGCTTTCTTCATTACGGCAGCAAATGTAATCAGTAGCTCCGTCGCTAGAAATGATTGCTGTTTTAGGATTCAGTGAGGAGAGTTTCCTTTTAAAAGAGAGGAAAAGGATCGGCTTAAACGGAGGAAGAGCAGATTTTACTAATTCCAATAGTCTCTTCTCCACATCAGCACGAGCTAGTGGTACATTATGAGACAAGCCATTGAGTGAAATCCCTCCATTAGAATAAGTAAGTTCCACTTGATATTGCATGAAAATATCATTAGAGAGACTAGGATGGAATGCTTTTAATGCTTCAAGTTTGACCCTAGAAAAACAGCATAATAGTAATATATAATAGTCTCGTCAAGACTCTTTAAAATAAATGCTGCAAATATCAATGTATTGATCTACATGCAACATGATTTTTATGCGTCTTACAACAAAATGTAAGCACATTGTAAATGTAAAATGACACACAGTGATTATCATTACCTTTCAACTCTAATGTCTTTGGCTAGATTATTCCAGCAGTAGGTGTAGGCTGACTCTACAGCAACCACAGTGCCAACGATAAGGAGCTTACAGGCACCATCACGAATTGGGAATATAATGATGTGAGAATTAGTCTCAAAAGGTCGAACTAACTCAATGTAATTCTTTCCGTCATTCATCATTAATTCTTCCCACTGCATTTCTGTTAGTACAACAGATTTCTCAGTATATTTAGCTATTGTGTTCCTCTTAAATGAGTCAATTAGATCATGGGATGGTGCTTCAATATAAAGGGAGCCAGGTGAATAGGTGAGGAGCCCACCATTTTGCTCTAATCTTTTAATGTCTTCCATAGCATCATTGCCAAAGCATTGATACAATTCTCTCGACATATCAAACCTAATAATAAAATAAAGAAGTACATTATGTACACTTACATAGCTCAAGAGTATTAAAAATACATGTAATTCAACCACAACTACATGTACATGTATTGCTTTCAAGTTTCAATTTTTGTTCACAAAACAACTATTAATCTATCTACTCCTTACTTATGCTGGTAGTTATCTTATAAATAAGCTAACAAACACATTTGCCAACCACTTACTATAAGCATAGTACTACTATTAATACATCTTTATATACATAAAGGTATTATTATTTGCTACACACGTACACTAACATACCTCTGGTGAACATAATTGTTAGATGGTGAAGGAGAGCAAGTGTCATTAAGTTTCACTTGTACGGATGCTCCCTTCATCTCCAGCCCATTCAACAGCACAGTAGCACTAAATGCATCAGCCATATCAGGAAACGTCACGGTACAAACAGTAGGAGAGTTACGATATAAAGCTTTAATGTTAGTAACGGATGCAGTAGTAATGTGTTCAATAATCTCTTGATCAGTTATAGAAGGATCGAGTGAACTAATGACTATACTGCTAGTAGTAGCAGCTGTGGGAACTGATGATGTAGAAATAGGAAGAGTAGAAGATACTGGAATACTTTCTGGAGGAGGATTTGATGTGATATCTAGTAATGATGGATTACTAACTGAAGGACGTGATTGCTCTTGATTCCTTAAAGCAGTCGTATTATTAGCAGGTGTATCTTGACTGCTAATGGTTGGTGACAACACGGTAGATAGATCTTCAGTTTGTCTAGTCCATGTTAAAGGATCGGACATTGTTTGAGACGACTGACTATTCGGATAACTTAAAAGATCAGTTGCTAATGCAGTGGTACCTGCAATATCATCTTGTAATTGACAATTATCTTGACTGAGTGATAACGACAACAAATTACCAGCCCCACCAGTAGGAGAGAACTGAGACGGGCTGAGATTAAAGGATTGTGTACTATCAACTGTTAATAAATTCTGGTCGTTCATCGTATTAGGCAATAGCGTAGTGTCATCTTGACTCAAAACAGGAGGAACAAAAGTCGATTGTACACCAGTTATGTCTAAATCTAGGAGGGCAGGAGGCGGTGGCAATGGAGCCAATAGATCAATCTCCTCTATCCCTTCAGTTAATGGCACGTTAATATTCGTGACAGGAGGAGGAGCAGAGAAGCCATTGCTTTGGTTATCGTCTCCGGCTCTGTCTGTTAAAAGTTCCGGCCAATTGCCTTCTTCCTTGGAAATAGGTTGCTTTTCGGCCATTATATCAACTCTGAACTAGAACTAGCGGCTGATTCTAGTCGTTTTAATAGCGTCTCGAATGCCTAGTCACTCTTCCACTCTTACAGTGATTCTTGGAGTGAGGGGATTTTACCATGCTAGCAATGAATAAAGTTATAAAATTACAGTTAAATAGAAGGGATCATGAATAATTAGATAAAATCCCTGCAATAGATCTATCATCCCTGCAATCATGTTAATTTGTTCCATTAGAATAATGGCAAATAGCTTTATTACATATAGATCAAGATTAATTTTTATAAAAAGCAAAATTTTCATATTTTAGGTCCTGCAGCTTTCACCTTGTAAATTTTCTGCAGATCTCAGCAAATCATATGTGCAGAGCTCAGCCACCCACGCAAAGTTGGAAGCCCCTCCCACGTAAAAAAACATTATCATTATTATGTCATAATCAGCACTTTATTACCAACGATTATTTGCATCATGGAGGAACGCCAAACTGGTGAGTTTTTACATCATTTGCTTTACTATACCGTACTGGTACTGTTGTTACCTAGTAATGTAATGATAAATGTATTAAAACGAGCTTGCTCGAGCTGAAACTCCTCTGGCAAGGTGGATACTTTGCTGATTCCACGTGGTGTGTTTATACACTCATTATTATACATTTAATATTAAAGCTTAGGGATTATAATGCTCAGCAATCATGTCCTTATTTTATTCTGATACCAGCCAATGCTTTTTATTCAATATTTGCCCCCTCCCTATGATTGATACCCTTCAAGTATTATACCTCATTACATCACTGTCCTTGTATTAGGTACACCTATGTTAAAGGAAGGTTTAGCTCAGATGCTAAAGGGGGGAATTATAATGGATGTTGTCAACGCAGAGCAAGCTAAGATTGCCGAAGAGGCAGGAGCATGTGCTGTGATGGCCTTAGAGCGTGTTCCAGCTGATATTAGAAAAGAAGGAGGTGTGGCTAGAATGTCTGACCCAAAAGTAAATAGTTATACATAATTCAAGTTACAAAATATGCGTAAAAGGTTTTTATAATATTTTGTTAAGTATGTACAAGTTACACAAGGTTTTCATGTGTATAAATAGCTGTTTGTATATGAATATTTTTTTTAATTTGTTTTTATTTTTTTTAGAAAATTAAAGAGATAATGGCAGCTGTCACCATACCAGTAATGGCTAAAGTTCGTATCGGACATTTTGTCGAGGCTCAGATACTCGAGGCTCTCAGTGTTGACTTTATTGATGAATCAGAAGGTAATGTATAGTACAATTAAACTTGATACATTTAGTACAGTAAAAATCACTAGAAGAGGTTTCATTACATTTTCTGATGCATGTACATGTTCTTATGCTGTGTATCAAGTTTGAGCTCATTAAAGGATTTTTGTATCGTTATTATTTTTTAATTAAGCTTACTATCTCAAAGCAGCTGCTTATCATTGCTTGTTAATTTTATGTTTACACCACATTTTGCTACACTACTATAAACACTACTATGATTGTACCAGTCATTCTGCCGATATGACTCAGCAGAAGTTAGCTAAGAAATGAATGTTAGGGGAAGATTTATAATTACCTTAGTCATCCTCAGTTGCTCAAAAATTAGGCCAAAGCACCTGTACTATAATAGTACAGGGTCTTTGACCAGATTTCATTAAAAATGACAAGGAGAGAATTCTTTGTTTTTATGATTTTTTGATTCATGCATGTACTTATCTTGTGTAAAAAGTTTGAGCTGATTCCAATCAAATTAAAATTTATTACAAATTTTTAAAGTTGCTCCAAAATCGGACCAAAGTCCTGGCAGTATTATAATGCTTTTGTTTCACTGTTGTAGTATTAACTCCGGCTGATGATCAGAATCACGTTAACAAACACGATTTCAGTGTACCGTTTGTGTGTGGAGCCAGAGACCTTGGCGAGGCCTTGAGAAGGATTGCTGAAGGTGCTTCGATGATAAGAACTAAAGGAGAAGCAGGGACAGGTCAGTAGTTTGTATTATTTTAATCACAAATTTTAGTTTCAATCATAATTATTATAATACTATTATAGCACAATTATAATACTTATACTTTAAGTTTCCTGTATATTTTAATGCTTTATTTTGTACTTGTTCTAGGTAATGTGGTTCAAGCTGTTAAACATGCACGGACAATCAATCATCAAATCAGGATTGCAAAGGCAATGGACTCCAGCGAGCTGTACAGCTACGCTAAAGAGTTAGGAGTGTCACACGAGCTTTTAAAGAAGACAGCCGAACTTGGAAGACTGCCTGTTGTCAACTTTGCTGCCGGAGGATTAGGTACATTGCAATGTTATGTGGATATAACTGTGCCAATACTGCATGTATAATAGTATAATGCACGATTCTTCTCTTTCTCCCTCCTTTTAGCTACTCCTGCTGACGTTGGGTTATTAATGCAGTTAGGTGTTGACGGAGTATTTGTTGGCTCTGGCATATTCAAGAGTGCCAATCCGGAGAAAAGAGCACGGGCTATGGTCCAGGCAGTAACTCATTTCAATGATCCAAAGATACTTGCAACAGTCAGCGAAGACCTTGGAGAACCTATGGTAGACACACAATACATATTCCATTCCTCATTGCATGTCTGCATACACTGCATATAGCTGGTAATTTTGGAGTGATGAAATTTTGATGAATTGCTAAATTTTTGATGATCAGATGGTTTTAATTTGCCATTGAGCATGTCCATAAATGGTTCAAAATGGTGAGTTTAATGATGGCGAATGGCTGTCAAATGCTAAATGTCCCAAAATTCTCTCCCTCCAAAGTTATCAGTTATCACAGTATTTGTAATGATGCTATTTTGATGGCAGGTTGGGGTCAATTGTGACGAGTTGAAAGAGAAGTGGGCCGGAAGAGAAAGCTCTAGAGTCTAACGCTTGAAAATTGTATCATTATTATTTATTATTGTAGTTTAGTTATTGTTAGTAGTTTTATTATTATTGCTGTTTATTTATTGGTCTATTCCTTTTATTTTTGATTCAATTTGTGCTAAAAGTTGAGTTTCTCAGCCCCGCCCACGCACTTAAAAATAATTAGTGGGTTGCCTTGGTACCGCCCACCTAAAATTAAAATTAAATGTCCGCATTGTCTTAGTCATCTTAGTCATTGTCAGTTGATTCATAGGGTCTATCGCCGCGTATATACCAGTATTTACTAGACAGCAGTGTTCCTTTATCACAATGTCGTCCTCTGAAGAAGATTACACGAGTGACAGTGAATCCATTTCAAGTAGCACCTTCAGTTCCTCCTCAAGCAGTGATCTCAATTCTAGTATCTATGTGGGCCAACTGCCTCCTTTTATTAACGAGACCCATCTCCGCCAACACTTTATTGGCTGTCATATCATCAGTTGCTTTGTCGTAAGAGATAAAGCGACAAAGATATCGAAAGGTTTCGGTTTCATTAGATTGGAATCAGAAGAGGCTGTGGATAGAGCAATCACTATGTACAATAAATCGCTAATTGCCGGGAAGCACTCAATTGTAGTACGAAAGAAACAGGAAAAGAAGAAAGATGGGGGTAAAGGGAAGGGAAGAAGAGGTAGGACGAAAGGTTCAACTTCGTCAAATAGAAAAGGATCGTCTTCATCAGATAGGAAAGGATCTGCTTCATCAGATAGGAAAGGATCTGCTTCTTCTCTCACTGGCGATAATCTCGTTAAAGTTTGGGTTGGTAATATTCCTCCTGACATTACAGAAGACCATCTTATGTTGATCTTCTCTCGTTTCAAAGATAAGATGGTTCGACCCATAGATCCCATTAGGGTAGGAGAGAAGAACTCTCGATATTCCTTCCTGAGTTTTGGATCACTTGAAGACTCAAATGCTATCATATCCGAGATGAATGGGGTCGTACTTAGAGATCACAAACTTGTCCTTCGACCAAGTAAACCCGACCCCAAGGAAAAGAAAGCTAGTGCTAGGCTTCGTCAGGTCTCAGATACATGTACTACCTCCGTTTTGCCTCCCGAGCAAAGCAGTTCTACTGTTGTTCATTTAACTAATCTCTCGCCAGAGATCAGCTCAACAGATTTGAGCGAATTGGTATCTGTCGATTCTTCTAATGTCTTCATCAATTCACGTGCAAACACCGCCTCCATTGTATTCCCATCTCAGCAAGCAGCCAGTGATGCTGTACAGAAACTAAATGGACAAATGTTCCTTGGAAGCACCATTAGAGCATTCATTTCTACTACTGGCCCACCTCCACTTAGGACCAGTAGTAGTACAAGCAGTACAAGTGATGCTACTCCTAGTAGTGAGTTACACAATATAGATAGTAGTACTTCAATAAAAGTAAGCAATCTTCCACTTGGCACAAAGAAAGAAGATGTGAGGAGTTACTTCAGCTCATTTGGTCCAATTATGAAGTGTGATATCGTTAGACAGAGAAGTAAGCAGGCAACCAGTTCTTCTGCTGTCGTTACTTTTAAAACTCCTTCCTCTGCCTCAAGTGCTGTTTCGTTTGATGGCTATTCGTTTTTGGGACGGCCTATGAAAGTGTCACTTAAGAAAGCAGCCTTGAAGGATGGGAGTATAATAATAGTGTCTGGCCTCTCTTCTGTTACGACTGGATCTGACGTCTTCCATTGTTTTAAATCTTACGGTCAAATGATTGGGAAAGTGAATATAAACGAGACTCACCCGCGAAGATGTACAATCAAGTATGTGGCAAGAGAGTCTGCAGAGAAAGCAGTTAGAGAAAAGAATGGTACAGTGTTCAAAGGCTCTGTGCTGTCTGTACAGCACCGTGAGGAGGAGGAGGAGGAACAAGATGAGACTGATGGCGATATTATTGATGATGCACCCAGTCAGTTACAACCTAAAAGGTTAGTAAGATACTTACATGTACATGTACATGTACATATTACATGGTAGATTAATGATAATTGCTCATCGTAACCAATGAAGTGATTATAAAGGCCTTCATACAAATGTACTACATGTACTTGAGGCAAATTTTTGCTAGCAATGTTTGCGGTTACTTTGATCTTGTAAGCAACTCGTTGCTGTTAAATAAAGATGTTCTATTCTTGGCAACATGTTGATTTGTTGCTGGCAACAAGTAGGTGATCATTCTGCCTGTGTCAGAATAACAAAACTTGAGTGTCAATGTTGTTTTAACTTATAGGGAGATAGTTTATTTTTTCCTTATCACAAATCAATGTATTTATGTAGGTACTTTATGTAGTAAACAAATGACCCAAATCAATTAAACAGGGCCTACTGTAGTATTGTGTGCTTTACTGTTGTGTTTTTATTTGAGTTACACGTATTTTTGTGTATCATACAGATTTTCAGAGAAGAAAGAGATCTCACAAGAAATGTACGAGCTATGGGTTGACAACTCCTCCTCTGAGATTGAGAGCTTTGAGCTAAAAGGAGGGACACATCAGTACAGCAAAGGGACATTGAGTCTTAGTGCTGCCTCTCAGGAAGACATTGATTTGCTAACAAAGAAGTTAAGCCTCTACAGGGAAAGGATGCTGGAGTGCTCGGCAGTACAATGGAATCAACTGGTGGTAGTGGATGAGCTTGGAGTTAGTAAAATGGATCAGTTGAAGAGTCCTTTTACTAGTATACCCGACCTTCGTATCATTGAGAGGCCTCCTCTGAAGGTGTTGTTTGTGGGGCCTGTGATGACAGTTGATAGCGCCTATTATCACTTCTTTAACGAGTTTGGGAAAGAACTAGTAGTTGATAGGTGAGTTTATGTACTGTTCTAAAAAATATAACATTATATTTACATGTGTAGTAGTGTTATGAACTTGTTTCTAGAGTAGTGCTACAGAAACACTATCCATTGTATTGCTATAATGCACATAAATAATTTGGTCTGATTTTGGAGCCATTTTGGGGGGGGGGGAATATGGGTATTTTGGTATTTTTAAATGGTCGTAACTTGAAAAATTGAAGTCGGAATCAGCTCTAACTTTCTACACAGCATAAGTACATCAATATGTATCAGAAAATGTAATAAAAATTGGGAGTGATTTTGGAGCCATTTTTTGGAAAAAACCATGGGCTACACATAATTATACATGAAGTACAGGCTTTAAAGTGGCTCATTTTAAGTGCATCATTGATTGTTCTCCAGTTTGTACATTAATTGTATAATACCTCATATTTTTGTGTGGCTTATTAAAAAATATTTCTTTCCACAGCCAAAAGATGGAGGCATTGCTGGAGATGAATGAAGACCTCTGCAAGGACATCCTTAAGAAATACCGTGTTCGTGTCCGTGGCTTTTCAACCGGCTCAACAAAACTGACCTTTGAAGGAAACTCATCATCTCTACCACTAGCTCGTTCAGCAGTAGAAACTGCATTAGCTAGTATCAAACACATCCCTCTCCCTCCTTCTCTCTCTGCTCCCCTCGTAAGAGCTGGCCTTGGTATATGTGAAAAGGAAGGTATCACTTGCTCTGTTTTCGAACACAAAGGACAGCCCATGCTCGCCTTTTCCTCTGAAGATCATCGTCAAAGAGGAGAAAAGATTTTCAAAAGAAAACCGTTTACTAATTTCGTTCGTATTAAGGAAGGTGAATCTCACTCAGTTCAGTCATTAGAAGGCGTCATTAGTTCTGATCGTGTCCACATTGAATTGAGCGAAGACTCGATTCTACTGAAAAGCTTCGAGAAGGAGGACGTACAGGAAGCTCGTAAAGAGATCGAGGAATTCATTGGGACGGCTGTCAAGCAAGAGGAACTCTCATGCACCCAAGAGCAAAAGGTTTATATCAAGAAAAAGTTAAACTCGGCCGAAATTAAAGCAAAGTTCCCAAATGTCGTAGTGCGGAAAGACAGCGTGTGTATTCAAGGTACACAAGTAGATTGTGTGCAGTGTTCCAAGGCACTACTGGAATTAGTGCCGGAATATTACGATACTGTTATAATTCAGTGTAACAGACGCTTTTATCCTCTCATTGATCAGCACATCATACAGCCAGTTGGTATTGAATGCATTGTTGCTTATGATGGCCAGGGACAGTACAGGAGACGAGGAAGGGGAGGAAAAGATAAAGAAAATAGTGGAGAAGGGGCTTCGAACGAATTAAAGTTATTTGTGTATGGTTTCTCATCTTTGGAGACGTCTATTGATGCATTGAAAGTAAGTTTGATATTTTAAAAGTTTAATTTTATGTTCTTTTTTAAAATAGAGCGTGTCTCCTAACACTATCCGTGTTCCCGTTAGCCCAAAGGCCAAAGGATTAGTCGAGAAGATGAAAGCTGATATTGAAAATGATTGCCTGTGCAAAATTATTATAAATAATCATCCAAATGTTCTAGTACATAGCCTTGGACAGCAAGAGAGCCAGAGAGCCAAACGCCTCATTCTAGACGGGATCAAGAAGCAATTGGTGATATTTAAGCATCTTCCTTCTCCTCCAATCCCAGCCCTACACTTGAAGTACCTTATTGAGATGTATAAGGATAGATTTGATGAGGTCTCCGAAGGCCTCGAGCTCTTTCACCTGCCAAAGAAGAGACCGTTTGATGCAATTGGCCCAGATGAGACTGATTCTATTAAAGTGAAGGGGACTGGGGAGCAGGTTGATGCAGTAAAGGACATGCTTGATGAGCTGATTGGAGAGAGTGAGTTTCATCAAAAGCACTTATTTCTTCCCATCACTTTCCAGCCTTATCTTCTCCGGATGTGGCGGAAAAGGTGGAATTGTCTCAAAGCGATTTTTAAAGAGAGATTTGACATTTTGATAGAGTACAAGTGTCCAGAGTCGATTGACCCTGGCTCTCAGGTTGAGTTTTGTATATATGGGTTCAATTATGAAGCATTTGAGTTGTTTAAAACTAAACTAGCCATAGAGCACTCTCAGCCTCTTGTCGTTTCTGAGATCCCACTCCCGATTGAGAGAGTCAAGGAAGTCCATGCGGCTCTTGCTGAGCACAAGCTTGATTTTAGGGACTATCCTGTTGATGTTTACTGCAATGAAAAGGCTAGGAAGATTATCATCAGGGCTCCTGATTTTTTAAAGGACGACATGGAGACCGTTCAAGACGAGATTGAAAACTTTCTTGAGGAAACGTCAATCGTAAAGGACAACATGTCTTTGATTGATATCCCTACATACCTTCTTTTTACTTCTTCTGAGCATGGCTACTATAAGCAGGCACTGTCTTATGCAAAAGAGACTAGAGTGACGCTACGCTCATACAGACATGGTCAGATTGTGGGCTGTACATTGACAGGTCCTGCCTTGAAGATAGAGATCTTAAAACTCCAGTTGGGTTCAATTTTGAAGTCGATTAAACCTTTGCTAGGTTATATCCACGTACCAGTAGACCCTCTGGCCCTTCCATCTCTCACCCCTACTTTCTGCAGTGACATCAACTCTAAACTCGAGAGTCAGTTCATGACCGTACTTATTAAAATGAGTGGCTCATCGCCACCTTCTACCCCTCCAAAGCAGCAGTCTGGTGACACTTGGCACTGGAGGGATAGTGATGGTTCCCTAGTTCCTCATTCGGCCTCGGTTTCGAAAGAGCTCTCAGCAGGGTACAAGGCAAACTCTACCAGTAAATATATTGTCATTGATGATGGGAAGGCCATTGAAGTCGATTTTTGTTCAATGGTTCAGACTGATTTAACAACCGGGATTAAAAGACAAGTAAGTGTCAGTTCCTCTGGGCCTGTTCAATGGTACTGGGCCAGTGATGATGGTACTAAACTAATGCCATACAGTGCAAACGATTCTGATACTATGGAGAATAAGTATAAGATGAAGCAGACTGTCTTTACTATGACCTTTAACCAACAGCCCTACTTGATTGATACTCTTGCAATGATACAAAAGAATATGAAAACTGGGCGTAGTCGTAAAATTGAGCGTAAAGCTACTCCAAGTGCTTCTGGTCCTAAGCAAAGCTCTACAGTTAGATTATATGGTCTGAAGACTAAACTGGATGCTGCCTCCCAGCATGTTCAGGATAGACTGTCACAGTGTCTCAAGACTAACGAGCTGACTAATCCTCTTCTTAGCAATCCAAAGTTTTATGCAGAGGTACAAAAGATTGCTTCAAAGCATAATGTCCAGACTATTCGAGGAAATCTTGGTCCTAGTAATGATAGGAGGGGTGTTCCTCCTGCAAAAGCTGTTGTTCCTCTTGTTGCTGGTGGTGGTGGTGGTTTTGGCAGCTTACTCTTTAAAGGTGTTGGTTTTTGTATTAATAAAGTAATTCAAGAAGTGCAGGAGCGCATCATTGATAGCAAAGCTGCTGCATCATCATCAGATGTTCCGGCAGATGTTCCAGCAGATGTTCCACCTGAATGGGAGTCTCAGGAAACCAACCTTAACTTATTCTCTGTTGCTTCTTCCTCTCCTGAATATAAAAGGATTGAGACCTTATTTAAAAAGACGCTTCGAAACTCTCGAATAATTACCATAACACGGATTCAGAATATGTGGCTCCATGAGAAGTACATACAACACAGGGACAGGCTTGCTTTAAAAAATAAAGGAAAAATAAATGAGCGTGAGCTATTCCATGGCACGCGTGGTACAGACCCTAAGGAGATATATGATTCAGAGGAAGGCTTTGATATGAGGTTCAGTGCTAGTGGGATGTGGGGACAAGCTAATTACTTTGCTTCTGATGCTAGCTACTCACACTTATATGCCCACAAGCACCCATCAGGATATAATGAGATATTTCTAGTGAAACTTCTTGCTGGAGAGTCCTACGAATCAGCAGCTGACTCTACTCTAAGGATGCCTCCTAAAATGACGAAACCCAAGGGAGAGCTACAGACTAGATATGATACAGTGACTGGTACCACTAGAGGAACGAAAGTGTTCATGGCATATGATAATCAGAAGGCTTATCCTGCTTATCTTATTGTGTATGCGGCATAACCAACTATTTTTGACTTATGTATAATTATTGTGTTTGATTGTTACAGTTATCCTTATCATAAAAGTTTTAAAATATACCAGAATTTGAAATATGCAAGCAAACCATGCAAAAGGAAGGTGTGGTAGATCTAGGTGCAAGTGTCAGCAGCTCTATTAATGGCCAGCTATACCTCTTTAGCAGTCTTTCTATTGACTCTCTTCACCTTCACAGCCTCAAAAGAGGCTAATCTTATCCTCCTTGATGACCCTGGAGAAGCAGTCTGTCTGGATGGATCACCTCCTGGTTTTTATTACAGGGAAGGTAGATATAGATCTATGATATTGTGAATTGCTTTCTCACTCTCTCATTAATGCAGGGTCGGGTAGTGATGCTACTAAGATAATAATACATTTAGAAGGAGGAGGAGTGTGTGTGGATGAGGAGGACTGCCTTGGTAGGAGCAAGACTGATCTGGGGTCTTCAAAGAATTGGAAACAGATGGCAGATTTTGGAGGATTCCTGTCCGACATTAAATTGTTTAATGAAAAGTTTTACGACTGGAATATTGTTTTTGTGAAGTACTGTGATGGGGGACTTTACTCAGGATACGTGTAAATATTATTATTGTCTTAATATTTTTAATTTCTTTGATTAAAGGTCTCAACCAGTAGATGTGAATGGTACTTCAATATACTTCAGGGGTAATACGATACTTAAAGCAATCATGCAGTACCTTCGTGACAATGGGATCAAAGAAGCATCAGATGTAATACTAACTGGCTGCTCAGGTTATACACGGTACTTACTATACAGTGCTGCTTCATTGTTTATTAGCTGGTGGAATCGCTACATACATACATGCTGACTATGTAAGAAGTGTTTTGCCTTCTTCTGTAAATTACCGTGCAATGTCAGATGCTGGGTAAGCCCCTATTTCATAATATTTACATTTTAATAAATTATTAAATTTAGATATTTCATTGAAGTGCTGAATGTTAATGGGGAGCCAATTGCAAAGGAAAGAGGACAGAAAGGTATGCTGCTAATAGTGCTTGTGATAACTGTGTCTTTGTCTTTAGTATATAAGCTACATAATATGTCAATCAGCTTGGATGAGGATTGTGCTAAAGATTATACTGGAAATGACACTTATAAGTGCACAGCACCACAGGTATAATTGCATTGTATAATGTTATAAACTTCAGGGTTTCCCACAAAGCATGCTCAATTGAGTTAAACAGCATACTACATAAGCTTGCAAGAAGCTTTTTAAAATTTATAAAAATCCTGGAGAATTTGTTCTAAATGTTGAACTCAAACTTATAATCCCTCTCTTCTATTCTCTTAGTATCTGTATCCCTACATAAAAACTCCCATCTTCTCATTTAATTCACAATATGATACATGGCAGATAGAGAATAATCTCCAGTTAGACTGTGACCCACCACACTGCACTCCAGAACAGATGGAGAAACTTCAAGAGTTTTTTAAGGTTGCTTATAAATTCTTTACTTATAATAAATGATTATTATAATCTGTAGGAATTTCAAGCAGCAGAGACTAATATTATAAACTCAACTACTAATGGTGCCTTTCTTGATTCTTGCTTTGCTCATTGTCAGTCACTTGATAGCCATGGATGGAATAGAGTTAAGGTTGGAGGACAGAGTGCAGCAGAGACATTTGCTAACTGGTACTTTGGTGAGTCTGAAGGAAGTGTCAAAGAAGTTGATTGTCCTTATCCATGCAATAAATCTTGCTGATATAGTGATACACCTTTTATGTGAATGTGTGAATGATTTTTTAACTATGAATTTTATATTACACTAAAATGAATTTGATTAATACTCAACTATTGTTTTGCTGTATCACTCTCAGCAAAATGAAAAGGCTACTCTGCCTCTTCTTTCTATGCCTTTTCTATACTAATTCTGCCTCTCTATCTCTTAACTTTAAGGATGAAGACCCAGTCCAGTCAAGAGAGACAGTCAAATTTGATTTTGGCTGGAGATTTCAACTTGGAGGCAACAATATAGCACCATGTCCTGAAAGTGTCTTTCCTAAAAACCTTAGTGGAGTAGAATGCATGGGCCTTCGATCTGGAAGCTCTAAAAATGCAGATGATTGCAGAGGTGAATGCTGTGCTGATGTGATGTGTGCTATATGGCAATACACTGATAGTCAAGGTTGCTGGATTGGTCAGAGCAACGATTGCAATCACACCAGTAGTTCTTGGGTTGGTGGAGGAAGGGACACTCCTGCTAAGCCTGTACCACCTCCTGATTCTGGGCCCACAACTCGTGACTTTGATGACAGCGATTGGGAGATTGTGGATGCACCTCATGACTCACTGATAGGTGGAGAGTATGCACAAAATGGAACTGTAAGGGGACAAGCTTACCTCCCGAAGAACATCACTTGGTATAGGAAGCATTTCAATCTACCAGCAGAGTGGAAGGGTAGGATTATATGGGTTTACTTTGAAGGTGTTTTTCGTTCTTCGACTACATACCTAAATGGACTCATGCTGCATCATGAAGACTCTGGTTATACCAGTTTTGTTGTACGACTTGACAATTGCTCGGGCATTTTATTTGGTGATGGGAAGGACAATGAAAATGTTCTCACTATATTGTCTACTCCGAATGAGGGATTCTCTGGTTGGTGGTATGAAGGAGGTGGACTGTACAGACACACTTACCTTGTGTCGGCTGATGTGGTTCATATTATACCAGACGGTACATACGTAGCAGCAGCAGTTCATGGGACAATAAAAGCACATGATCCTAACGATATCAGCAAAGGGAAATATGTGGACATTGCAGTCATTGGTGTGAGCAGTGAAGTTATTAATGACGATACGAAGGAACAAAAGAGAACCTACCAATATACTTTATTTGATGCAGATGGGAAGCAGGTAGGCAATTCAATGCTACCTCCTAGCGATTTCAGTGCTGGTGAACTTAAGGTCCTCACTGATAGCTATACAGCAAAGAATGTAGAGCTATGGAGTCCAGCCCGTCCATACTTGTACACACTTCAGTGTGAGCTACTGAATAATGCTGATGATGCTGTTATCACTGATAGTGGAGTGACTGATACATATAACATTACTTTTGGAATACGAAGCACTCAATGGGATCCAGATAAAGGGTTCTTCATAAACGATGGTCATTTTACTTGGAGAGGTTTCAACAATCATAACGATTTTACCGGAGTAGGTGTTGCAGTTCCCGACAGAATAAACCTGTTTAGAGCACAGTCGATGAGAGCTGTAGGAGCCAATGCTTGGAGGATGTCACATAATCCACCAATACCAGTGATGCTTGATATAATGGATAATGTTGGTATTTTAGTCTGGGATGAGAACAGGGAATTCGGTGATAATCCAGTATGGGTAGCAAACCAGCGTAACATGGTCAGAAGGGACAGGAATCATCCGAGTGTAATGGCATGGTCATTTTGTAATGAGGCAGGTTGCAATGCTGGTGATTCTGTGCCGGTAGCAAAGGAGTTTGCAGAAGTCTCTAAAGAAGCTGATCCTAATCGCCCAGTGACTGCTAATATGATCAGTGATTTTGGTGGAGCTCTTTCGTCTCAAATTGACGTGCAAGGCTTCTCACACAAGCCTGGTAATATCTTTGATACATTTCACAAACAGTTCCCAAAGGTACCAACAATTGGCTCTGAATGCTGTTCATGCACCACACAGAGAGGAGAGGATTTCCCTGACAACACAAAATTTCTTCTTGGAAACTTTAATGCCAATTGCAACAAAGACCAAACAGAGAGTCAACTTGACAGATCTTATGTGGTTGGTTGCATGGTGTGGACTTTGTTTGATTATTATGGAGAGCCTGCTTTTGGCTGGCCTCACATCTCATCATCATTTGGATCAATAGACTTGGCTGGTTTTGCTAAAGCCTCGGCTTACTGGTATCGCTCTTGGTGGCTCTACAATGGGGTCCACAATCACAGCACTGGTGGGATCGACGTTCCTCTTAATCCTCCAAAACTCATTAATCCTGATGCTCAACCAGCTGAAGACAATCCTCAAGATGGCTACCTTGTACACATAGTGGAGCACTGGGATAAGAATGATGCAGCTCCAAAGCGTACGATACATGTCTATACTAATGCACCATCAGCTGAACTATTTGTAAATGGGAAATCTCAAGGAGTCAAGACTTTAGTGTGGCAAGGATGGGCAGAATGGGACGGAGTAGCTTACGAAGATGGCAACCTAACAGCTAATGCTATGGACGACAAGAATGCTATTGTAGCCAGACATACTAGACTAACTACAGGAGATCCTGCAAAGATAGTAGCAATGCTAGATGTGCCAAACGACGACACGGGAACAGGCTCCGCACTAGTACTTGATGGACAAGACTCTGGTATGGTCAGTGCTGTATTGCTTGATTCTAATGGAAGAGTGGCTCATGGCTCGTCTCTCAATATAACGTTCAGTATCACGAGTGGCCCTGGGAGGATCATTGGTGTGGGGAATGGTAACCCTCAGTGTCATGAGCCTAATCATGCCACATGGCGTAGTGCTTATCACGGGCTGGCCCGTGCTATTGTACAAGTAACTCAAGACCATACTACAGCTAATAGAGACCGTATGATACAAATTGATAGCGATGGGGGGCAGAGGACTCTGGTTGGAGACCCACGTGATCCCAAGAGGTTTCTTGATGATATAGTTGTACAAGTGTCTGCTGAAGGTGTTGGTACAGCTACTGTGTCTATACCAACCAGTACTGATCCTAATGATGGTGTGATTTCAACTGCTAGGAAATCACGACAATAGGAGAACACTCTGATATAACTGCTGCTGCTATTTTTAACTATAACGGCTGATGCTACTTATTAAACTGCTATATTTGCTTTTATATTATTTTGCTTTTTTCTTTGAAAAATTTTGTTCTTGAAAAAATTTCAATAGGTACATCAACAATTGAAAATTTTATAGCCACAAACTAATGATAATAAAAAGCATACCTGTCTAACATTTAATAATTATTTTCTTTAATTAATTTAACTTGTTCTTTGACAGTCTCATTCTTTAAGCTCGATAACTGATTTAAAAGTGCTAGATCTAGATCTAGAAGTTTCTCACTTAACTTACAAGTTACACAAAATCATCTATAAAAAAAACTATTATAACAACTCATTATTATGACACTGTGATGATTGATCGAATATTAGATCTAGACTCTACTTAGAGAAATTAGACTGAAGGCCTTCATACACTGGGCAACATGTTGCTAGCAACATTTGTGGTTATTTTGATCTTATAAGCAACATGTTGCCAGAAACAGAAGGCTGTGCAACATGTTGCTTACAAGGTCAAAGTAACCACAAATGCTGCAAGCAACATGTTGCCTAGTGTATGCCTGGCTTAATAATCTATTCTATGGGTGGAATTTTTGAGGAGGAGCATTACGCCGGAAACTACTGCCTCTCTCTTTCTCTTAATATTCTTTCTCAGTTTCTCTCTCTCTGTCTCAGTTTATAGTTTATACACCACATACAGTACACATTGCAGCTGGAGACTGTGTCTCTTCAGCCAAAGGAAACGTCAAATGGCGACTCCTGTGTACGGTAAGTAACTAAGCATAGACACAAGGAACTGTGGGAAGCATAAAGTCGAGCATAAACTGCATAGCGTTCTTACTTCAGCATGTTGAATAGTTTTCTCTCACTTTAGGTGTAGTTATAGCTTTACTGGCTATTCTAGTAGTGGCAGAATTTGTGATTATAATAATGATTTTGAGACGAATGAAAAGAATTCAAGTAAGAAAATGATCTAGATCTATTATGATTATATAATTCTGACAGCTAGAGTACATTATCAATGATCGTACACCATCAATTTTCGGACACTTG